TTGCATTCTTGGCATTTCAGATGAAAAGAATTAGGTCATTAGAAGGATGAAGAAAACGTTTTCTGAAGGGACCGGAGACCTGCCACCGATTAGAGCCAACGTTACTTGGCCTGACAGACTAGTATATGCATTAACTACATTTATATCCCATCTTCCCTGTACGAGCACAGTGGTTCCCAACCTTGGGTCCACCGGCGTTCTTAGACTGGAACTCCCGGAAGCCTTCGACACAAGCGGGGCTGCCCAGGATTGCCCGGAGTTGCACTCCAAGAACATCTGGAGACCCAACGGTTGGGAGGTCTGGTCAACATGGGTCTCGTCCTTTCGACTTTAGTCTCCCAGCAATCCTGCGAGGTGGGCCAACAAAACGAGACTGGCCCAAGGCCGCCCGGTGTGTTTTCAAGGGAAGTTGAACCTGGATCTCCAGAGTCTACAGTCCAGCTCTTTAACCACCTGCCTGCCTTCCTGGGTGGCTCCCAGTGTCCAGCAAGAGCGTGGGCAAACCTCAGACTGGGCAGCCTGCCAATGAATGAATGGATCTGCTCACACTGAAATACGGTGTCTTGGCCAGAGTTTCTTTTCAGGTGCCTTTCTCCTTTGCCAGTTACAAGCAGAGTGCTGTGTAGTCCTGTTTTGGGTTATGCAGTTTTTCTGTACTCTGCCTTTTTTTTTTCAAACATTAGACCCTGTGGAAGCTCCTTTTTTTTTTTTTTTGCAATGGTTGAGAATTTTTTTTTCAGTTCAGTTTTTTTGATAAGGACCTTCCAAATGTCATCCTCTTCTCCATAAACTCAATAATCTTGGAACTGCAGAGCTGGAAAGGGACCCCAAAGAAGCATCCAGTCCGGCCCCTCTGCCAAGGAGGGCCCCGTGCGGGCATCGAACTCCCAACCTCTGGCTCCAGTGCCGGAGACCTTAACCACTGAGCGATCCAGCATTTCCATAAAGATCCAAAGTTGTGGTTGTTTTAAAAAAATAGATGTGGGACAAAATAAAATGGATTGATATGCCCATCTAGGCTGGTGGCAGGTGATGGTGAGCCCTTTCAAGTCTGCGTGTGAATCCTTAGGCATCTGGCCGTGTTTGTGGCATTGAACTAGAGCCGCCCCCTCTTTTTTTCCTTCGGCCGGACTTCTCATCTTTAAGAGTCCCATAACGGGGAGCTATAGCAATAGCCTCTCTATACTGGGAATAGCTGTACCTTTTGCATTTGACCTGCGCAGGCAGTTGGAAGTTTTGTTCCATCTGGGGTTTTTTAAAAGAAGAACTCAGCAAAATTTCTTGGATAAACTGAACCAATGACATTAAATACAGCCACCTCCCTAATTGTAGTATTAAAGAATGGGCATGGATATTTCATTCTTTCTGTCTTACAAGACTCATTTTTGCAGCTTAGTTTCTCTAAGGGCCAAATGATGTGTTCTCTCCTCCTCTGACAAGAGTTTCCCTCTGGACACACAGTTCTTCGAAGCGTCGCGCCTCAGAAATCAGACTTGCACCGGAAGCCTGTGCTTGCCTCCGGGTAGCCAGGCTCAAAACAGCAGGAAACGAACATGGGATAGGCAGAGTGAGAGGCCATCATCTGCTCGGTTCAGCCTCTTAACGGGATTTCTGATGATGTGCCCACGGTATCCTCTCTTTCTGCCTGGCCACAGCTCCATGCGTCCCGTGTCCTTTCTGGGCACCCGTCGACATGGTCGGTTACACCTCCGCTACCTGTGGCCCAACGCCTTCTGTGGCTGCTTCTGGCCTCCCTTGCTTGGTTTCCCTCCAGTCTCTTCTCTCTCTCTCTCTCTCTCTCTCCTGCACTGCGCAGCAACAATAGGTGCCAGTTTTAGCCACCTGCAAAACCTCTCCATCTCTCTTGGCCTAGTTTAGTTTCTGCACCTGGAGAATTCAGTTCAGTTCAACATCTGGCTGATTTGCCAGTTCTGAAGGCTGTGTGTATGTGTGAGAGAGAGAGAATTTGCTCTTCAGCAAACAGGGCTTGTTGAAGTTGTGCTCCTGGCAGGGACTGCTTGTCGTCTTTTCTGTTAGGAGCCAAATTGCAGATCATGTAACATTTGGGCAAGGGAAAAGGCCTTAAAACACACACACAAACATACACAATGTGTGAGAAACGGTCGTATCATGTTCTCGTTGCTCAACAGGAAGGCTGCTCTTCAGGGCTCCAGCCGGCAACCTCCATGTCGTTCATGTGAGAATGGGGGACAGTAGAGATATTTCTGTCTTGTGAAAGAGCCGGGGGAATGTTGCCATGAATGAGGTGTGCACACGCGCGGGGGAGGCGAATGGTACATTAAGCAAAACGGTGCAAACAGACCCCCTCAGAAGCTGCTGGGCTCTCCTTCGCGGGCGGTTTCTAGACAGGCGCCGGGTGGTCCGCCCTGTTGGGTGCTGTCCGTGTCTTTGGTTCTCTTTGGCCCCTCAGCTCCTGCATCTTCTCTGGGTCCCCTCGTCTGATGTTGGCCGGCCTGCCGCTTCTCTGATCCCCCGAATGCTGCTTGTGGGGAAGGAAGAGGGTGCAGCAGCAGCAGGAAAAGGGGGTCTTCTCGAACGGCCCCATGGTGTGCATGCCGGGCCTTGTCGTTGCCCGGGAGTGGTCAGGTCCCCCTTCCTCTTCTTGACCAGGATCTGAGCTGAGGGACAGTCCCGTCCTCTGGAGCCCTGAACCCAGAAGGGGGAACCTTCCTTTCGAAGAGGGAGAGGGGGAGAGACAGAGGGGGGGGTGGAGAACGGAAGGGGAGAAGGCGGACAAGGCCAGAGGTTTGCCTCCCGACCAGCCATCGATGCTGCTGCTCTTGAATGAAAGGAAGAGGGAGGAAGGAGTGGATGAGGGGGACAGGGCTGGCTGGTGGCATCCACGGAGGGAGGGCCAATGGCAGATTTCATCTGAGGAGGATTACGGGGTGGGGGGACGAGGTCGCTCCGGAGGCCTCCCCCTCCCTCCAGGCTAAATGGAAGTGACAGGGTTGACAGGTGGAACGAAGCATGGGCCTGTTGGCGGGCCTTTGTGTTTCCTGCCCGCGTCTGCCTCTTTCTTCCTGACAAGGAAACCGGTGCCTGTACGGTTTGATCGCGCGCGCGCTTGGGTCAGAGCAGGCAGGACAAGAGGCCACAGGAACGATGAGCGATGTGCCGTCAGCCGGCCTCTGCGGCACGGGGACTCAGGGGAAGGGTGGATTTGGGGATTCGTGGAGCAGTTCTGTTGCCCTGAACAGCACAGGTCTTGTGTTGGCTTGTTTCCAGAATCAGGCCCAAGCAGCCCCATACGGGCGAATCTGTGCCTAGGTATGTTGATTTTTCTTCTGGGCGCACTCAGAGAATTGGGTGGGTGGACTTCTGCTGCCCTTCTGTGGTTTCCCAGCAACTCCAAAGAGCAGCTTCTGTGGCTGTCACATGGGAGGCGGAAAGGCAGGCGCCCTACGTGCTCTTTATGGGCCCAACGCTGGACTCTGTAACATACAGGGTGGGATGGCAATTGGGGGGGGGAGATGTGCACATGCCTCATTTGTTCGTGCTAAAGGGCGGAGTGGTTTAACACTGCTGACCGTGTTTTTCTTTCTTGTCTGATTCCCCGCAGGCCAAGTTTCATTCCTGGGGTATTTGCTTTGCAATGAGTGATCCTAATTGTAATTCCCTTTAGGGCTGGCATCCAGGGCCAACGGATCCCCTGAGGCAGTAGAATGTCTTGCTTTTGATCTGAGGCATAATTAAGCGGGTGGTGTAGAGGTAGGCGCTGAAACTCAGTTCATGGTGACAGCCGCCGCCCACGCGGACAAGAGTAGTTTTTTACCTGGCCACTCTCCCCCCCCCCCAGCCCACTTCTGGTTTCCCATTTCCTCTGTTTGTGGGGAGAGAACAGAACCTGGATCCCCAGAGCATACCCACAGCATGGAGGGTGTGTTTCTGTTCCTTGTGCTCCACGGAAAGCAAAGCTGCAAAATGAAAATAAAACCTCACACTGAGGCTTATGGGATGTGCCTGCAGTTCTGAGCGAAGCTGCTTGGAAAAAAGCTTCACCGACTTCTGTGGGTCTCCCGTCAGGCTGCCTAGCTTGGAAAGAGGCCTTCGGGCACCTCCTCCCCGTGTGAGATTTCCCAACCCGTCTTGTGCAACGTGGTTTGATTCAGCTGTCGCCCTCAGGGACGTGTGTGATGCTCTATTATGCTGATTTATAATTGTGTTATCGTCTCTGCTATGTATAACTTTGGGTGCGATGGTGTTTGATTTTTGTAAACCACCCAGAGTGTAATGGCTAGATGGGCAGTAGAAATAAAGAAATAAAGAAATCTCTGATAAAAGCATTTGCAGAAGAGCCTGCTGAAAGATGACATGGTAGCTTCCTCTTTTAAATGTGGTGTTTCAAGCTCCAGGTGTGAAGTGGGAGGCACCATCAAACAGAAGGAAAGAGGTCCACAGCCCCCCTCTCACCATTCTCTCAGCCTTTCCTCATGTGTCTCAAAGGAGAGGAGAATCTTCAAGCCTTGGTAGACCCTCGTTTCCCTGTCAATGCAAAGAGGGCTGAGCAATGGTACGCCCATTTCGGTAGATTCTGTCACTTCCCCGGGGGGATACCTGTATTTCAGGAAGGTACACAGAGAGCTGAGCTGACTCCGGCATCGCTGCTCTTCTGCTGCGGACTGTGATACCTCCTCGGGGGCAGTGTCTCTCCTGAAGCGGGCAGCTGATCGCCTGCCAAGGGCTCCTCCCCTGCCGTATTCTCTGGAACCTAGAATGCCCAAGGAGGAAAGTTGGCATCCAGCCCAGCCCAGCATTCTTCTGGGCACGCTTGATTTATGAACTTTCCCACCCGTGGTATGAAGCAGTGTGGTCCCCTCCAAGACTTGACAAGTGTGTTCTTTCCTACACATGTGGCTTGGCTGCGAATGCAAGGACCAGTAAAATAGAATCCCCACCATCTCTTCCTTTACAAATAAAGACAAGTAGCTGTGGATCCTAAGGCGCCTTGTTACATTCGTCTGTTTTCTCTCCTGTAGAGAGTTTGCCAAAGAACGTGAACGAGTTGAAAACCGGCGGGCCTTCTTAAAACTCCGGAGGCAGCAGCAGATTGAAAGGGAGCTCAACGGCTACTTAGAGTGGATCTTTAAGGCAGGTAAGGAGGAGATAGCTTCTCTCTCTCTTGTCATAGAATCATCATCAACATAATAATAATGAAACAGCTAAGGCCACAAGTCCTTTCCCTAAGCATTCTTGGGACTTTGGGGGGGGGGTTAAACAGGTGGGGCAGCCGTGGAGTATGCAGGACCCATCGAAAGTTCTCGGTCACAACAACGGGCAACGTCATCCTTTCCTACTGGGCCTGGAAGGGACTGCAAGTCTGCGTCTGATATCAGACTCCCCTTCTTTTTCCTCACTCATTTTAGATGTATGTATGTCCCGCCTTCTGTAATTCCAGCAGCTTGCGTGTAAGGGACTCTGTCTGTTCACATCTGGAGAGGAGAGTGGTTTTGATATTGAAAATGTTATGACAAGCATCAGACTGACTCAGCTAAGGGGTCATTGAACATGCCGTGTCTCGGCCAGCCTCCTTGGCGGCTCTTGCTTGGGCGGTAATTGCCGGTAATCGGCGAAACCTCACCTTATCTCTGCGTGACAACCTTGCCGTTTCCCAGAATGCAGAAAAGGAGCCATTCAGTTTATAGTCCCATTCATAAAATGTGCTTTTTTGTATTTACAGCACTGGGTCTGCTTTTAGGTCAGAGACATCACTCCTGCCCAAGCTCATTCGGAGGCGTAGAATTTTGTTCCTCTAGCAGGGGCTTGCTTTTCCTTTTTTTTGCTTCGCTCAGATTTGCGAGTACTTCTTAATGGCAGCCAAGTTTGTCTGGTTCAAGGTGCTGACCTGCGCGAGTCATGGCCACAGAGACAAGGTGGTGGCCCAAGCCAGATGGAGGAAAGGGTTTCCGTCTGGCTGGAGGCTCAGTTGGGTCAGGACCCTGGACAGAGGCAGAGGCGGAAAAGGGACTCTGATGAGTCCAAGGGATGTCCTCTAGGACCATGGACAGCGCTCCTGCCCGTGGAACAAAGGTGGCCGCTTCTAGGGCTCTGATTCATACTGATATGAACTATCTACCAGTGGGAGCTGCAGACCGTGTGTGAAGCTGCTCCATGGACTGAAAAGCAGGGAGCAGCTCCTCAGTGAAGGGCCTGCATAGTCTGGGCTGGTCATCCCCCACTGAGGGCAGCGGCTGGGTCCTCCTGGGTCGGAAGGAAACTCAAAGAGCTTCCTCTCTCATGTGAGTTTTCCTGGAGCCGTGGGATCTTCCTCATCTCTGGTGTGGTCCAATATCCACCCTTGGAATTTGGCCCCAAGTGACTCAACATGTGAAAAATGTTTGCAAGATTTTATATTCCTCCTGACCTGTTCAGATGGCCTGTTGAGGAAGCCCGTGTTACATTTCTTTTCTCTAGCATGAAGCTCAAGACAAGAGTCTCTTTCTCTCTCTCTCTCTCTCTCTCTCTCTGTCTCTCTCTCTCTTTGCTGAGGGTTCAGCAATTTGTGCAAAACACCTCTGCTCAAAATGTCCCACCTCTTGAAGCCAAGCAGTTGCAAGTACAGGAAGCACAGAAGGGTTGGCAGGCTGATCCCAAGGACACAAACAAGTCCATGCAAGACCATAGTTATCATTATTTTCTTCCCAACGTGATGGATCTCAGAAATATGACCCCTGTTGTCTAAGAATGCCCAAAGATATCTTACTGACTTGCAGGTGAGGGAGAAAAACTTTGCACCTTCTTGAGCGAGATGTATATTTATGGTTTGGACGTCTGCCTTGCTTCCACCAGTGCTTCCTGGTTCATTGACCAGCGGTGTCCTACTTTTGGACCTCTGTTCCACGATTTCCCTGTTTCCAACCCGTAGGTCATGCTGGACTTCTGTCCGTGGTTCATCTTTCCCTCATTCCATTTTCTGTAAGCAATGAATGTGCACCAGGAGTAGATAGACCCTGAATTCCAAATCTTATCTGCGAGATTAGGATTGATATTTACAAAATCCAGATCCAAGTGGAATGACCATAATTGATTCCAGGAGGTTAAAGCAAAGTGAATTTACAACTCAGTCTGTGTCTGGAACACAAAGTGGATCAAATGGGGCCTAAGTCCTTCAGCTCTTTCCCTCTCTTTTCTTTCAACCTTCCAGATACCAAGCCCCCAAAGCTAGCTGCCTGAAACTTGTCAGGTCTACTCTTTTCTTCAGAGTATATCACGTCTTCAAACATTGTGCGTATCCGTGTGAAAACCGAAGGCTTACAACTGTGGCGGTTTTCTAGTACAGATCAATGGAAGGCTTATAAATTGATCCATGTCACATCGAATGGAGTACAGATCCCGCCAGAGCTGGTCAGGATATATTTTAAAGCCCTGAGTGGCCCACCCTACGAAGGAAATGATACTGTGTGGGATGACTGAAGAGGGGAGCGGATCGGAACCCTTGGAAAGGACCCCCAAGGCACCAGCTCAGCCCCTGAAAACAAATTTGCTACTTTGGGTCTTTTATACATATTAAACTGCAGTCTGTATTTCTACCCTGTGCTTTTAAGCATCAGTTTGTCCAGGAAGAGCGAAGAATTCCTCAGCCCACACACCGCCTTGTGTTGACTCTGTCTCTTATCTTACGGGAACACCCGGCATTTGTAGAAGAGGGCAAGAAGTCTGGCCGAGATACTTTTTAGAAGTCTCACAAAATGACTCATGCGGCTGGGGTGTTAATTCCCTCTTAGAGCTCTTCCTTTGTGAGATCATTTTAATGCCAAACTTGTGTGTGTGTGCACGCCTATGTGTGCATACATACGTGTGTGTGTGTGTGTGTGTGTGTGTGTGTGTGTGTGTGTGTCTGTGTCTGTGTCTGTGTGTCTGTGTCTGTGTCTGTGTGTCTTGCTTCCCAAGATTAGTGACCGGTGACAGATTTCATTTTGCTCTCGTCTAGGCTACAGAGCCTCCGGGTTTGTGTCTGACCGGTGACAGATTTCATTTTGCTCTTGTCTGGGCTACAGAGCCTCTGGTTTCCCTTTGCAGACCATGGAAATGTGCTTTTTGTTTCAAGTTAGGGTCTCTGTCACTGACCAAAACCTCCCAAAGGTGCAAACAAAGGCCTTCTTGGTCCAGATTAAAAATAGCGAGGAAGGAGGAGCTTTATCTTAGCTTTTCAGTGAGATCCATGTGCCTTATTTTCAAAAAGATCTACCACCATTGCTTTGTTAGGAGACATATCCCCTGATCCAGCAGACTTTTCCCACCCCCCACCCCACGTATCCCCTCTCCACCAGGAATCTTTTTTTCTTCAGTTTAGTCCAGAACAGGATTAACAGTGAGATCCATGTGCCTTATTTTCAAAAAAGATCCACCACCATTACTTTGTTAGGAGACAAATCCCCTGATCCAGCAGGCTTTTCCCACCCCCCACCCCACGTATCCCTTCTCCACCAGGAATCTTTTTTTCCTTCAGTTTAGTCCAGAACAGGATTAAGTGATATCTGATCCTCTGGGGAGTACAACTGTGCAAGCTTGCACTGCGTAACCAAAGTCAAGAGATGATGCTAGTTGCCGATCAGCAACATCTGGAGGTCCGTGCCTGGGGAGCCTCTTCGGGGATAGAGAGATGACTCATCACAAGGCAGCTTCATTAGAGGAGGATCTGTGATGTGGTCGTTGCTGTTCAGAGCAGCTGGTGGACTGCACTTTCATTCCTCAGACCTGCTCTAGGATACGGCTCTTCAGGCGTTTCTCCTGAGATGAGAGAGAAGGATAAAAATGTGGTGAGGATGTGGGCTGTACATAAATCCAGTTCTTCAAAAGCCCTCCGGTTTGTTGAATGTGGGAAGTTGTGCTTCTATACCCACAATTTAGAAAGCCAGGAAATGGCCAGCAGGAAAAAAGATGCCGAGCTTTCTATAGCAGAGGGCAGCTGGAAGGTTGACTTCAAGATACCCTTTTTGGTTCGCTGCCCTTCACAAAGTCCCGGAAGCAGACTCCTTTTTTCATCAGTTCACCCCTTCTCACCCAAAGGCAATGCAATGGTCAGGACTGGGGGGGTGGTTCAGCCGCTTGGGTCCCTGTGCAGCTGGATGTTTTGTGGCCTTTGGACCCCTCGGGCTGCCTGTTGGCCGGTCAGAATGTGCTTGAATTCATGACTGAGGGCTGTTTTTCCCCCTTGTTTTCAGAGGAAGTGATGTTAGCAGAAGAGGACAAGAACGCCGAGGAGAAGTCCCCCCTGGACGGTAGGTGTCGTTGCTCTCTGCTCTTCTCTCTTTTCGCGACACGCCGTGTCTCCGGGGCCTTTAGCTGAAAGGAGGAGGTACGTCAGCTGTTCCTTGAAGCCCATTTTAGTCTCAGGGCAGATGGTTCGAGAGCTAATGTGCACAGCGATTGTGTTGGATACCTCATGTTTTCCACAGCAAACCCTTAAAGCGTGAAAGCGGAGTAGACACACATTTCTAACCAAGAGGTGGACGTGCGCCAGGCAGCGGCAGTCACTTGGGATTTGCCCGGCGCGTCTTCTCAGGTGTTGAGAGGATCAGGCAGGGGTTCATCACGCTTTTTTTGGGTCCTGCTGTGAGGGAGCCCTGATCTGGCCTGCAGAGAAGACACAGGCCGCATCAGGGGCCAGGCAGCCTTTGAGATTGCTCGGGATTTCAGCTGGATGCGTTTGGTAGCCAGCGGTCGGTCTGGGAGCAGAAACAGATTCTCTGGTTCTCCAGAGGACACGCCACTGAGTTGTTAACCGGTACAGAGAGTTCTGGAGGAAACGGTTAGATCTTCCAAGAGCAGGAAGTCTCTACAGATTGCCAGAAAGGGCTGTCAAAGATAACCCCCCCCCCCCCGAAGCAGAAAGACATAACAGGGTGTGGTGATCCTGCACAATCCTAGACAGGCAGCTCTTCCTTTTCCTACACCCGAGGAGTCTTGAGCATTCAGAAATGCATGTTCCGCTTGCCAGTGCAGGACCACCGAGTAACCAGGGGGGCCCAATCCACGTTCCTTGTTGGCCTCACACACCGACGAGGTCGCAGTTGCTGAAAGACACGGCTAAACGACTCTTCCCTTCTGCGTGTTCTGACCGTCTCTCACCCTCTCGTGTCTCCTCCTCCTTCCCGCCCTCAATCCTTCCTCTGTTGTGGTTGTGGTTGTGGTTGTTTTTCTTTTCTTTCTCCTCCCGGTCACGGTCAGGGAGGGCCGCTTCTGAAGGCCCCGTCCTGCGCGGCGCGGCAACGCTGGAGATTAGCAGCGGCGGCAGCTGTAACAGTGAGTGTTGACGGCAACTTGTCAGGTTTTCGGAGGGTTTAGGGTTTCTGGCTTTCTCTCCCGAACTCTGGCGAGGCCCCTTTGTCTTCCCTGTTGCTGTTGGAGCCTCTGAGAGAGTCGGTAGAGATGGTGGAGTGGGTTGAGGTGACGGTCGCTGAGGAGAGGCGGAGACGGGAAGGAGCCAAACAGGAGGGTGCCTGCTTTCCTGGCGCCCATGCCCTTGGTGGAGTCTGGAGGAAGATGTTCAGGCCTTGCTCTAGAGCAAGGGTTGGACCAGCCAGGAGAATTGTCCCATCCAATGAAGAAGAAGAGCAGAGTGTCGGGATGCAGGAGCCGCAGAATCCTCAGGACCCTGGACAGTTCCCAGGGAAGAGGCCGCTCCTAGCAAGATTCCTGAACCTTACTCAGCGAACACACGCGTGAGATGAGTGTACAAATCCTGCCCCATAGCTTCCCTCCCCTTCCATTCACGAGGGCAGTCACCTCTGTTGTGATGCCGGGGCCAGGATCCGGGGCCAGGATCCAAGGGCTTAAATGCAGAGAGGAAAAGCCACAGTGTGCGCCTCTCCTCCTGCAGGCTCCTGGACACCTGGCTGCCTGTTCTCACCACCACCCCTTCTGCCATCAGCCACAACATTTCGCCTCCGCCAGGAAGACCCCTAAAGTCGGAGCGGTGCTGACACGATTGCCCTTCTTCTCCCGGTTTAGTCAACAGGACCCCAGCCAATGGGCCTTCACCAGAAGGCCCGGATCATTAAGCAATAGGGAAGTGCTTTCTGCTCTGCTCTGGCCCAGGCAGATGGAGCGGGGGGGGGATACAAACCTTTGCACAGGCGTCTTGCGCTGGGTCCCTTCCCGGGCATTCCGTCCTCGTCCAGAACAAAGAGGACAAAAAGACTGAAGGCAAAAGGAGACGAAAGCCCATTGAGTCCAACGGGCTCTTGCTGCTGTGGCTGGCGAAGCGCCTGTTGGAGGCAGGGCGTGCCGCCACCGCCATCCCGGCCTTTTGCTCTTGTCTGGGCTGCAGCAACTGGGAAGAAGGTGGCTGCCCTCCTCCCTGGCGCTGGAGGCGAAACACGGCCACCACGATCGGTAGCCTCGGCCGCACCCTCACTCTGGATCTCTCCAGTCACCTTTCGAAGCCCGCTGGCTTGACTGTTCCCACGATGGCTTGCAGTTCATTTACTCTGTTTTGTTGAGCGGGTTTGATGGAGGGCTTTTTTGAGGAATAATCCCTGGCGAGGGTGGTCCTGGTTCTGAAGTTCCAGCGGATCTCTTGACTCAAAAGTCTGCAGTGCATGATCACCACACCACGTAGTGTCTTAATGCTGGTGTCAAATCTTCTTTTCTCCTTAAACCGACTTTTTAAAATTAAAGAATACTGATGCTGCCCTTTGCATCGAATGGGATGTGGACTGGGGGTTCCAACCAGATGTTCGCGGGAGGTGCCCATTTGCTGTGATTCGAGTTTTCTCAGAGGTTCCTGCCTGGACAGTCAGGCTTGCGAGTTAAGCCTAGGTTTCGTTTCCAGCGAGCAACCACAAAACAAAGCACACTACGTAAAAGGCGGGGGGCGGGTGAGGAAAGTCACGTCCTTTGGCCAATGGATGGCTTTCCTTGGACGCTGTGAAGCTTTCAGGACCGGCACCAGTAACAGGTGAGCTTAAGGCATAGGCCAGGAAAGGGCACCTCTTGAGATCTGTTTGTCACAAAGGGGGAATGCTTCCTATTAGCCAATACAACTGATTCCAGCAACGTCGCAGGAGTTGGCAGAACGACACATGCTGTCTTCGGGACTCCAGCTCCGGATTTTTCCTCAAGGTTAACTCCTGAAGCAGCGAGCAACCACAAAACAAAACACACTACGTAAAAGGCGGGGGGCGGGTGAGGAAAGTCACGTCCTTTGGCCAATGGATGGCTTTCCTTGGACGCTGTGAAGCTTTCAGGACCGGCACCAGTAACAGGTGAGCTTAAGGCATAGGCCAGGAAAGGGCACCTCTTGAGATCTGTTTGTCACAAAGGGGGAATGCTTCCTATTGCTGGCTGAAGCCAAGGCAGCCCTTCAACAAGGGAAGTGTCCCTGTCATCCTTGTCCCCTCACCAACTGGCTGAGGACCCTTCCAACCGAAATTAGGACACCAAGGTTTGGCGGTGATTAGACTAGGAGTGTCAGTTCTGGCTTGTTTTTTTCCTTGCCCACACAATAAGGGACCATAGCATTTTTATCCTCAAGATGTGTGTGTGTGTGCATGTGCGTGACAGAGAGAGAGAGAGAGATTTGGCTGGATGGGCTCTCAACAAAGCTTGTGTACACACCAGTCCACTTTTGTGCAAAAGAGCGCAATTCACGTCATTTGCACAGTTCTGCCAAGCTGCGAATTGTGTTGAAAGGAGGATGGCCACCATTTTATTTCAGGATATGAAACCCTGGAAGGGTTCTTGTGGCTCTGTTTCCCAACAGCCAACCGGCCAAACGACATGGGACTTTTGTTCGTGCATGTAGTTGTAGGCATGGACGTTGCTTCTCACCAGTAGAGAAATTTCTACAAATTGCAAAGACTTTTTTGTTGGGGGGATGTCAGGAGCTGCTCTCTCAGCTGGAGGTTGGGTGTTTCGCAGGGTTTTAACATTCCTGGCCAGGGTATCTCTTCAGGACACCCATTCTTTCCATCTCTGAAAACCAATAACACCCCACTCTGCCAAAAACAAACACACACACGCCTTGAAAAAACACCCCACAGTGATCATCAAATTCTCTTTCTTCCCCTCACCTCTCTCTCCCTGTGTTCTTCCTACCCGGGATTTGGTGCAGATTTTAATTTTTAAACTCCAACAGGCCGAGGTTGATTTTTTTTTTTAACCTGTGTCGGTCTTCTTGCCTCCCACGGGAGGAGGTCGGGGCAGCTGCATTCCCCAAACGCTGCTCCCTTTCGCCTCTCTTTCCCCTTCTGTTTGTTTCCATCCTGCGCTCTTCACGAAGGCACAGGGGAAGAGCAGCATCGTAGCCCAGAGGCCAGACCACTCTTGAACCCCACCCCCAGCTGCCCTTTGCATAAAAGCCTGCAAGGGAAGCTGGTGACTGAGTGGTTTGTCGTGGTTAATGTTGGGAGGCTGCTCTGGATCGGACCTCGGGCGGAGAGGCAGTTTGGGTTCTGGGAAGCTTGTCTGCAGAAGGGGCTGATCCTGGGTGCGAAAATGATGGCCACATTTGGGCTTCCTTTCCCCCCCCTTTTCTTCGTCGCCCTCTTTTTTTCCTCCAGTCCTGAAGAGGGCCACCATAAAGAAGAGCAAAAACGACCTCATCCACGCGGAAGAAGGGGAGGACCATTTCACCGACGTCTGCTCTGTGGGTAAGTGGCAGGTCTGATGAACCAAAGCTCTCCTTCAGATCAAGTGTCTCCTGAGCAGCCACCGCGCACAGTCGGATTTATGACAGCCCTTTCCAGGGTTTTCTAGGTAGAGGGCAATCAGAAGTGGTTTCCCGTTTCCTTCTTCTGGGGAGGGACTCCCTGGGACGGTGAAGGCCACCCAGATGGGCTCTCTTCTTCGCAGGAGGCACAGTGGGAACCAAAGCGTAGGAGGTGCGAGCAGTATGGGCGGGAGATCTTAGGGAGAGGGCCCCCCCCGGCAGATAGACAGCCATTGAAGTGGGAGAAGCGTGGCAGGAGGAGCGTGGAAGGATTGAGGAAGAGAAGGAGCCCCCCCCCCTCTGTCTTCAGGGACCAGCCTGTCCTCTTCGCTTCTGCCCAGATTTCCTTTTCTTCAACCATCTTCAGACCTTTCCGTTCCAGATATGGGGAAGAAGAAAGTGCTAGTTCTGGGAAGTGGCCATCAACAGGGAACTAAGGAAAACTCTCACTTGCCCCTAATGTTGCAGTCAAGATCCTGTAGGACAGTGGTGCCCAACCTCGGGTCACCCCAGTGTTCTTGGACTGCAACTCCCAGAAACCCCAGGCCAGCACAGCTGGCGGTGGCCACTTCTGGGAGTTGCAGTTCAAGTTCAGCCTTGGGTTGCCCAAGGTTGGAACCACTGCTCTAGGAAATACAGCATGAAAAGTATGTATCGCTATTGGTTGTTGTGGGTTTTTTGGGCTCTCTGGCCATGTTCTGAAGGTTGTTGATTGTTCCGACTCCTATCCTCTGAAGATGCCCATGGCCACAGGGACTGGCGAAACGTTAGGAAGAACAACCTTCAAAACACAGCCAAAGAGCCCAAAAAACCCACAACACCCATCAGATCCTGGCCGTGAAAGCCTTCGAGAATACATATATTGCTATTCCTTGCAAAGACTTTATCAAACCAGTGTGACCCGCCCCCTTCTTTTTAAAATCCTGGTGATTCATGTGATGTTATGAGGCTCCTGGAAGACTTTGCAAATGATTGCAGGTTGGTGTGAAAATGTGCTGACCAGCAGGAAAGTAACCTGCTACTGGCCATTACCAGGGCAAATGGTTTTTAATTATCTTAAAATTGGCTGCAAGAACCTTGTAATCGCTTCCCAGAACTATGCAATGCAGTAAACTGATTTTTTTTAAAATGGGCTGCATCCAATTGTCAGCCACGGCTAGTGGACCCACCTGAATTGGTGGGGTTTACAGGAGTGTTGAATCACCATTTAGCAATCAATTCATTGAGGTCTACTCTAGTTAGGCATAACAACTGGGTTTAGATCTATATATTTCAGAAGCATTGCCATTCTTTGTTTGTTGCAGTAGAAAACTCAACTTGTTAGAAATAACTACTTAGTGATACTTAAGTCATTTCTCCAATCAGACAGATGTATCTACATTGCTAACAGCAATAATTCAGAAAAATTGTCAACACTTCTTTTGGGTTATAACGTCTAAGTCACTTTTATGGTTACAAGGGCACAGTTTCAGTAAATGCCGAAGAATAATTCCTTGGGTGACATACATGCTTAAATGTTCTCTGGCCATGTTGATGTTCGTGGCAATCCAAACAGACCTTTGTTATTACTAAGAATTCCTACTTGAAAATGAAGCATGATGATGATGACAATGATAATGGAAAGCAGGATAATAATTCAACATGGGCATGGCTAAAGCTGGGGACTGTTAAGAAAGAAACCGAAGGCTTGATGTTTGCTGCACAAGAACAGGATCCAAGGAGTTAGTGCTAACAGCAAATGTCGACTCTGCCAAGAAAAAGATGAAACTGTGTCACACCTCATCTGCAAATGTCCAAAGATTGCACAAGCAGATTACAAAGTTAGACATGACAGAGTGGCAAAAACATATAACGTGCCATCCCCCCAAAGGGAGCATCAGGTAGAGAAGGTGTCAGAAAACGAGGACGTCAAGATCTTGTGGGATTTCCGGGTCCAAACGGACAGACACCTTGAACATAACACCACCAGACAGAGTAGTGACAGAACGAAGAAAACTCCGAATCATTGACACTGGAATTCCAGGGAATGCCAGAGTTGAAAATAAAGAATTGGAAAAACTAGCCAAGTACAGAGAACTGGCCAGCGAAACATCTCACCTCTGGTCCCCATAGTCATCGGGGCTTTGGGAATAATATCAAGAAACTTCACAAAGTACTATAAGCAGTTGCAGATCTCAGAAATAACACCATCAGAGCTACAAAAAAAGGAACAGCATACATACTGCGTCAATATTTAACAGATACTTAGGTTGTTGGTTAGGACTTGCATCTGTTATATAATACCAGTCAATGTTTTTATAGATTTGACTGACTGTACCTGGTGTTGTTGCTTTTTTAAATAAGAATAGAAGTGCAGAGCTGGAAGGGACCCTATGGCCCATCGGGTCCAGCCTCTGGCTCCACGGCTAGAGACCGCAGCCTCTGAGCTGCCCAACAGTATTATGTTCACTTCCCAATAACCTGTCACAGAACAAAGCAAGCTGACTTGCAAAGCAGGAGAGATGAAAAACTCTCCTGCGATGACAGTCAGCCCCCCACTCTAATCGGGGGTGTGTGTCTCTCAGGATCTTTGTATCCTTGGCTTGACCTTCTCTGGGCGGGATAATATATTGTCTTTGCTTTCATCATTCAGGTTCTCCTTTTGCCCGTGCGAGTCTGAAGAGCGGCAAGAACGACAGCTCCACCTACTTCCGCAGGAAAGAGAAGATGTTCCGTTTCTTCATCCGACGTATGGTGAAAGCGCAGAGCTTCTACTGGATGGTCCTCTGCGTAGTGGCTCTCAACACCATGTGCGTCGCCATCGTCCACTACGACCAGCCCGAAGGGCTCACCACGGCCCTGTGTAAGTTCAGGCCCTCGCCTTCTTTTTGCTGCAGCTCCTTGGGCTCACCGAAATTGGAGGGACCCAATAAAAGAGGGAAAGGCGTGCCGTGGGGTGTGGGGAACTCTGGCCTTGGAGGCGTTTTGGGCTCCGGCTTCCTAGAAATGCTAGCTAGGGTGGTCAACCGTCAGGGGTAGCAGAAGCTGTGGTCTAAAAGGGATTGAAGGATGAGAGGGTCTCCAATAATGCTGTGGATCTTTCAAGAGTTCAGCGTGGCTGGAATCCTATTGGTTTGCACGGCCAGCTGCATCGAATTGCACCCGAGTGCCTCTTGGTTGCATGACAAGGTTTGTGAGTGAGGCATGCCCCAGACCCTCACCAGTTGGCCACAGTTCTCCACACCAGGTTGTGCAAACTAGGTGAACTCCAGTGAGGACCCTGGCGAGAGCTCTACTTCCTCAAGGGAGCTTAACATCAGTATGAACCATGTTCGTAGATATAGAAAGGGACCTGTCACCTGCCATAATGAATTCCTGCTCCATGCATGGATCCTTATTAAAACCAAAACAGCACCTCTCCAAGTTTTGTGGAAGCACTTACAAGTAGCAAAGGGAAAGAGCCACCTTTAGAAAAACACTAAGGGATGGGAACCTGAAAAGTTTAATTCAAAACCTCACAGAGTGTTAGGGTGGAGGGAGAACCTCAGAGCCAGTCTTTCCCACTGCGTAGGGCCAGTTTCCTCGTGCATAGGGCAACTCAAAATTGTAGGCATCCTTCAGTCTCAAGGGACAAGGGTAACTCAAAATTGTAGGCATCCTTCAGTCTCGAGGGACAAGGGTGACGGAGGACTTGGAACAGCGTCTCGTGTGGCTGAGGAGGCCAATTCAAGAGTGACCATCCCTTCCACACTGAAGACAGATACAATTTGTCCCCTGTCCAGCTCCCTGATTTTCCTGCTTTTGGGACTGCCTCTTTGCCTCAGCCTGCTGGACAAGGGTCTCTTCAAAATGGGAGAGGCCGTGATGCACCTCCTGCCTCCAGTCTGAACACTCAGATGTCAAGGTTTCCCATCTGTTGAGGTCTATTCCTAAGGCCTTCAGATCCCGCTTGCAGATCTCCTTGCATCGCAGCTGTGGTCTCCCTCTGGGGCGATTTCCCTGCACTAATTCGCCATACAGGAGATCCTTTGGAATCTGACCATCAGCCATTCTCACGACATGCCTGAGCCAACATAGATGTCGCTGTTTCAGTAATTATATCTATACATTCCTAGACGAATTGGCAGTCATAACAAGGCCTGTCTGATTATGAGCTTCAAAACCTTACTACTTTTGTGGATATTAGATAGAAATGATCATCCAGATTTTCTAGGCTTTGTGAGTTGCCTGTTCTATTCCAGAATCAAACACTCGAAACAATAAGGCTGTGAGGGAGAGAAGGCTGGATAAAATCCTCTGTAAAACGTCTGCCATTTACTTCGGGGCTAAGTGGCTTAAAAATGCCATCATTCTTTTATCATCATCATCATCCTCTCTCTTTCTCTTTCTTTCTCTCTCTCTTCCTTTTTTAAAAAGAGCCATTAGTATAAGAGCTTGCTTGCACAGAACTGCTTTCGGGAGAGGGATTAAAAAAGAGAACTTCATGGGCAGATATTCATCTCCCAGCTGGTGTCAGAAAGAATGTTCTTGTTAATTACAAACTGAGTGAAAAATTAGAACTGGGTACGTACAGCAGAGAGGGGGAGGGTGGGAGCCTGTTTTAATCAAAAAGCAGCATAAAAGCAGAAAAGTAATTGAGAAAGGAGAAAAGGGAACTGAGGAAGAAGAGGGAACAGTGGAATGGACAGGCTATTTTAATTTTCAAAAAATTGTATTCATTTTTTTTTGTCCTGTGCCCCCTGGCGAAATAGGAGCCATATATTCTGCCCTATATTTTTTACAGGATTAATAATAATTGTGTGTTGTCCAGTCAGTTCTGACTTACGGCAACCCTTCCCAGGGTTTGCCAGGAAGAGAATACTCAAAGGTGGTTTCCCCTTCCATTCTCCCAGGGGGGCCCTGGGGCTTTGTGCAGCTGGCCCAAGGCCACCCAGGCTGGCTCTTCTCCCAGAAGGCCCTGTGGGGGGAATTTTAACTCCCCACCCCTGGCTCCACAACCAGAGATCTCAACCGATGAGCGATTCAGTGGGCTGTAATAGCAAAGCCAAAGGGAAACATCTTCCGAAAACAAAACAAGCAAGCAAAAGGGAACAAAAGCCGCACACCCAAAGACACAACCACAAGGGAGAAAGAAACTTCAACAGGGGCTGTCGCGTTGCAGCTCAGAACTGATCGTCCTTGGAAACCTGGAAATCCGCTAATACTGTGCATAGAAACATTTGGCACACACCATGAACGTCCCGGAAGGACTCCTTCTTTCACTCTCAGGCTGGAGGTGGAAAGCTTTTTTGTTTGTGTAGGTGAGAAGAAAGCTCAACAAGCTGCTTTTAACAAACCTAGGCTGCTGATGTTGCCAGGGACAAGAGATTTGCCGTGGGGGTCTTAGAGGAGAGATCGGAGCAAATTCTAGTCTATGTTGGAGGGGAAATCATACCTGTGGCTGCCAAGGGAGACCGCTGGACCTGGAAGGCTCTCTGGCTGCTTCCAGCAGGAATCCCCTTTGGATATTCCTTGTGTCATATTTGGAAATACATAACAAAAAGAAAGGTGCTTTCTCGTCAGTGCACAACCGAGCTTCTCAGGGGTGGCGTATGAGGAGGAGCGCAACCACCTCTAATTAGACACCTTTACGGAAGGCTCTCATTAATTGGACTTTGGAGCAGACGTGTGAACTTTGGCTGGGAAGGGAGACGCGTCCACTCTGGGAAGACTGGAGGCACCCTGAGCGTGATTCGGGCACCTCTAATTCAATCGAGTCTCTGTTCCTCTAGGGAGAATTTAATTACATTGCAAATTAACTTTGTGGCTGCTGAGAGCCTGTGGGGTCTGCATTGATTCCTTTCCACTCTTCCACTTTGTTGTCTTATCTCTCTCTCTCTTTTCCCCCCCTTTTCTCCCTTTCCCCCCTTTAAAAAAAAGTGTGTGTCGAAATGCTCTGATTAAATATCTCAGCTTGATGCTTCCCACTATTTTGAGCGCTTGAAAAGAGAAGGACCACCGGCTCTTGGCGGAGGGGAAATGTAAAAGAGGGGAAGAATTTTCATTTCAGGTCTTTGTAAAGTCTGTGCTGAATTTCAGGGCCAAAAGGGGAGGCGGCGGTGGCTGTTGTGAAGTTGCCATCGAGTCACTCCCGGCTTGCAGCCACTCTGTGCATGAGAAATCTCCAAAATGCCCTGCTCAGCTCTGGCAAAGGGAAGCCTGTGGCTTCTTTGAGGGAGTCAGTCCATCTCCTCCTATTTGGTCTTCCTCATTTCCTGCTGCCTTCCGCCTTTCCCAGCGTTATTGCCTCTTCCAGAGAATCTTGCCTTCTCGCAATGTGCCCAAAGCAGGACATCCTCCGCTGCATAATTTTTTGCCTCCAGTGACAATTCAGGATTAATTTGGCCCGAGACCCACTTGCTCTTTCTGGCAGTCCAGGGTCTACTTGAACCAGAAACAAAACTGCTAATAAAAACAGACTCAAGACACTCAGGAAGACACAGATGCAAGAACAGGTGACACCTCTGTTGGACCACTAAAAAAATAACAACAACAACAAAACCACAGCGAGCTTTCAATAATAATTCATCTTCCTCAGGCTGTGCACCATGCTCTCATGGGTAGCTCCAAAATCATGTTTTTATTAAAGTCCCAAAGTCTGGAGGTTTTTTTTCTGATATTTTCCCCCAGGAAAATGCAAGCAAAAAAGGTAGAGCCGTTGTATTTCATTGCTAGAAATGTCTTTGTCCAGCCCTTGAAGAGAGGGGGCTCCTTGGGCCTCCCAAGGAAGGCTCAGCTCAGAGGGGCTACCAAACAGGACAGCGATTTATGGAGGGCGATGGGGCTGCTAAGAACGGTTTGTTGCAAGGGCTCTGTGGAACATTGACCTAGTGAACCAACCGCTGCACAGTCAATCTGCTTTTCGGTCCAAACATCAAATGAGCTGTTCAAGATTCTGGGCCTCCTTTGGGTCAGGGTGCTGGTGGACCGTGTTCAGGACCTTGGATAGCTCTCGCAAGGAGACGGCTTGGTCGCTTCCATCCCCTTCTTGTCGGCTTCTCAGAGTTACTTAGTTGGCCGTTTGTGAGGGGAAAATGCAATGGTGGACCCCTCTCCCCTCCCCACCCCAGGGAAGAAGGAACGCCGAAACAAACACGCAGGCAAATGTGAGACTCTCTCCGGGAACTCAAGCACAGTCCATGAGCTTGCTAGGAAACCGCCTATGAGTCTGTTGTGGAACCCTGGCAGAACAGTAAGACTCTCGGGGAGGGGAAGATAGATGTCAGAGCCTGAGAAAAGTGAGCAGAGGCCACCCGTGTCTGTCGCTCATCCTCAGCCGACGTGAACGGACGAGGACCCTTCCGAGTACCCCAGACGTCACTGGGAAGTGCCACGGGCTTTGAGTGGTGAGATCAATGAAGATGGATGGGCCATCTTTAGGACTCCAGAACCCACTCCCTCTAGCTCTAGAGGTGTCCCTCTCAAAGCCACTGTCCAGTGCATTTGAACTGAAAGAGACCGAGAGCAGAGTGTGGTCTGTCTTCGCCGAGCCGCCGTCGACAGCCTGCAGTTCGTTTCCTGAGGATATTGTGTTTGTCTTTGAAGTTGTAGCATGGAGTCCCCATGGCCATCAATATGCAAAGCACGGGGAACATCAAAACAAGTGGGCTTATTTATGTCAACTGCATATTTTAGGTATTTATGATTATTAAGAGAGAGGAAGCAGCCCAGAACCGTATAATGAGTTGATAGAATCCCAGCCTCGTGGAGGTGGGAGGGGGGCCTCGAAGGCCCTCAAGTCGAACCCCCTGGGTCAAGGGGGGACATTTGGGTCCAAGGACACCTGCCAGGTGGCTCCTCACACCTGTCTTTACCACAGGTGTGCCTCTTTGGCTATCCAGGGAGGCAGGGGATGGTCAGATGTTCACCTCTAGCCTTGATGGTGGGCCTTTCAAGACCCAGAAGCAGAAGATCTGAGAAAATGCAGTGCAGTACAAACCAGAAAGGGCCCAGGCATCCCGTTGTGCTTTGGATTGTGGAGGTTTGGAGTATTTTAGGGGTTATTCGGAAGTCTTCCCCTTTTGTTGTCCTGTATGTCTAGAGGTGGAAGCCTCACGAAGCAGAAATGCATGCATGCACACACAGACACGCACGCACACACACAAAAACCATGTTTTTTTTTTTTGTCACTGGAACAGTTTGGAGTTCATAGAAATTGCCCACCCTAATTTACTAGGAAAAGACCATCGTGCTGGGCAAGGTGGAAGGCAGGAGGGAAAGAGGAGGACTAAATATGAGAGGGACTGACTGCCTCAAGGAAGCCATAAACTTTTAGTCTGCAAGAGCTGGGCAGGGCTGTGGAGGAGAGGGTATTCTGGAGATCAGGCACGCAGAGGTGACGGGTGGCCCATACATAGACTTGGTGGCACAAGACAGCGGGCAGGGAAGAGCTGGTAACTTGATAATAACTTTCCCCCTTTGGATGCCCTCCCCTTAACAGTGGCCGATAACCCCATCCTGATGGAAGGGGTGAATCACAAGGTATGATGACCTTGACAGACCTGGAGGACAGGGGCTCGAGGAAAAGCTGCTTTAGAACCCCTTCTCTTCAGAGCACAGCCCTGCTGACTGTTGGCTTCGTGCCAGCTCAAAAATGGAATTAATTTGTCAGTGATTGACAAAAAAGAGAGAGAGAGCTGCTAACTAGCTAATTCAAATGTATCGGGTAGAAAAGGACCGGCATGGCCTTTTCCACAAGTAGGGTTTTTTTAAAAAAAAGAATAAATTGAATTAAACAATTGGTAGCAAGCCTTCCCTCTTTCTTTCTTTCCACTCTTCCCTTCATCCCGAGGTATTATAAAATGTTTCTGTTTAAGGGAGGATTAAATTAAATCTAAGGAGGACCAAATAACCCAGATTTTTTATTTGTTTATCACAATGGCAGGCCCGTGTTGGAAGGAACCTGGATCTGCCTACCGAAAAGGGTTGGGGTGGGTGGGACGGAGTAAGTAGTAGAAGACTTTGTGGAGAGTGGAAATCAGCACAGCTGGCTGGGTAGCTCAGTGGTTGAAGCATCTGGCTGCAGAGCCAGAGGTTTGGAGTTCGATCCCCCCCCCATTGGGCCTCCCAAGAGAAGAACCAGCCTGGGTGGCCTTGGGCAAGCGGCACCGTCCCAGGGCTATCCCCCAGAAGAAGGAAAATGGGAAACCACTTGTGAATTGACTTGATGACACGTGATTATTAGAGATCAGCACATGCTGCTGCTGATGGTGGTGGTGGTGGTGGTGATGGTGTATCCTTTCTGGGTCCCACCCAAACACCCAGCATCTTCTCTGGTCCACATACATGGGTTGCAGGAAGATGTGTGGGTTTCCGCAGCGGCCAAGGCTCTCCGGGGGCCCGATGCCGGGAGCCCTCTGGCAGGACTCCTTTGCCCACATCTGGCTCAGTTAGGACACATGTTTTATTTCCATTTGGCCAGAGGCCACCACATTTTTTTAAAAAAATCACAATAGAAAGGGTGCTGTAATGGAGGCAATAATGAGCATTAAAAGATTAAAAATTTAGAACAAGAGCGCCGTAAATTATTCTAGGCAGTGGCTTGTCATTTTTTTTAAAAAGCAGCTAAAATGAAGACTGAAATGAGGAAGACAAGAGTTAAAAGATTAAAAATTAAAACAGGATCCTGTGTGTGATTCTGGGCATTTGGTTTTCACAAAAGAAAGCAGCATAATCTCTTTATCTCGTTTGAAATACAAAGGTGCAGTTTTGTGTCGCCCTAATCTTTCTTTGTCCCCCGGTGGGTGAGTCTAGCCTAGTCATTTTTTTCCCTTTCTGTGTTGCAAGAGTCATGGGGGCTCTCAGTCGAGAGGAGGACGTGTCTACCTCTGGTTATGGGGGGAACTCCAGTTCCCATCGTCCCTGGCTTGCATTGCCAGCGAGGGACTGGAGCCGAGGGGGCCCCGTGGTTGCCTGCTCCTCAATGGCTTGTAGCCATCAGGCCGAAGGCCCTGCCGTTTCAGTGCTCAGGCTGGGCCGGCAGCTGTTTGGGGAGGCAAAGGCAAAAAAATTTCTTCCCCCCCCCCAATACATCCCGCGAGGCAGCTAGACAGGCGACTGACCGGCTTGCCTCCTTCGCTGCCTCCTCTGTACAACAAGAGGTCTGGCCAACGCAGGCCAGTCGGAATCCGGTTCCTGGCCCGTGTCTGTCGGTTTTGCACGAGAGTCCCTTCGTTCGTTCGTATGTCTGATCTGCCATTTTTGCAGTAGAATCATAACGACGGGCTGTCCAGTCAGCTACGAGTCGCAGCGACCCTTTTCCAGTTCTCCAGCCAGAGGGTTCTCAGACGCGGCTTCCCCTTCCCTTCCTGTGGGACTGGGCAGGGGTGCCCAGTAGGGGGGGGGGCTCCACCGCCAGGTGCCTAAACCACTGAACTCTCCAGCCAGCTGTTTTTGCATTCACACCTATTTTTAAAAGAAAGGAGAGAAAACACACACACACAAGAAAAACACAACATTGTATATGCCTGTGATCGTAATGCGTTTATGTCTTTGTTCCAATTCTCAGCTGCCATTAAGGACCCAAGGCTTCCCAAGGCAATTTCTTGCATTAAAAAAAAAAAACACCAGCAGGAACATTTCAACAAAAATCATATCAATTATGCTATTTTATACAAAATAATTTTAAGAACAGTTTTTAAACTATAACGCCTTTTTAAACACAGTTTTTGATAAATGCACATTTTTTAAAATCATAAAGTACAAACTGCTTATGAAACACAATTTTTATACATTCTTGATGGTAAAATGTGTGGGGTTTTTTTTTAACCTACTTTCTCACAAGACGATGTGCGGTTGTGGTTGTTTGGAAAGTGGGTTTGCCACCATGGTGGAAGTGTGGCAAAAGTGTGTTGTGATCTGTGCCTCAGTTTGGAGGCTGAGGGCAGTGGCCTTTCCCAGGGAGGCTGGAGAAATCCCCAATAATCCCTACAAGAAAGCCAGCTTCGCCATTTGGGGGCGGGGGTTCCATGATAATCAGGCGGGCCAAGTTCAGCCCTCCAGAGGTGGTTGGGCAGCATCTTCCCTCAGCCCTAGCCAGGCTGTCCAGATGTGGAGGATGCTTGGGGCCATGGAGGAGCAACTATGTCCAGGGAGGGCCCCAGCCTTGCCCAGCCTTCGACCATCTGCTTCCCTACCGAGTGTGACTCCCACTGGTAGTTTTCCAACCCAGCAGGCAGCCTCTAGGAGATGTGGCAGTGGAGGATATTTTTTCCTTCCTGCCTGCCTCTGATTCAAAGAGAGCCCTGCCTCTCGGCTCAGTGCCTCCCCCCCCCCCCCGGTCTCTTGGAAGCCATGAATCTGTTGAGGCCTGTTTCTTAGTTTTGCTGTAGAGCTGTTCTCTTGTAACAAATGAAACTTTTTAGTCTTTCTACTTCAGATGTCTCGGAGTGAGTTATCGAGACTGTGAGTGCCAGTTGATGAGGAAAAAAAAAGAGAGAGTGGGGGATTCTCTGGGGAACTTGAAGCTAATTCTGCTCTCAGAATCCCTGCACGTCTGCTTTGCAGCGAGAGGAATTTAGCCAGCATTACAAGCAGCAAAAGTTTCCCTGTTCAAGGTCATCATTCAAGTCTAGGTCAATCAGTCATTCATTCACTTTTGCTGCTGCTTTCTCTGTTTCCTTCTAGATTTTGCGGAGTTCGTTTTCCTAGGCCTGTTCCTCACTGAGATGTCCCTGAAGATGTACGGCCTGGGGCCGAGGAATTACTTCCACTCCTCCTTCAATTGCTTTGACTTTGGGGTAAGAGGAGACATTTGAGTGTTCTGCCTCTGCAGCCTTCATCTAGACGGCATGCCTCTGTGTTTATTTTTTTGCACCCTGATTTCCTAGCAACTGTTTTCAGGGGCTAAAGCAAGGGGCTCTTTGAGATGTCCTCTCACTCCGGTTGCCATCATCCCCTGCCGGCCTGAGCAGTGATGAAAGGAAGGGTAGTCGTTTAGCAGCTTTTGGAAGGCCACACTGTCTTGATCTCTCTAGTCTTCAAGGAAGGTATTGGCCTGAATCCAATAGTAGCAGTAACAAAACACAGAGAGATCCGCGGAATCCGTGGGATTGATCGCGGTGAGTGTGGGATCTGGGAACCCAGCCGCGACTCTCTCAACAGGTAGGGAGTGCCTGTTTGGACACCCCTAATGGTGAACCTCTGGATGGCTCAAGGGATGACCCTTAGGGGTCCCTTCCAGCTGTGCCGTTCTAAAGTAATGATTATTAAGGACTGAATCTATTGGGTCAGTCCCAGCTAGAGTTGGACCCTCAGCGGTGCTTCCAGCCATTCATTTAAGAGGTTTGGGGGATTGGCCGATGGATCCAGTCCTTCGTCGTTCGGCAGCCCCAGAAGAACAAGGAACCACCTCTGAGGAATCTGGAGCTAGAAAACCCTGGACATAGCCGCCATGAGGCAGAACTGACTTGGTGGTATCGGTCGTTGTTACGTAAGTGATTAATCCTCCACGCTGACTTCTCACGCTAGTTGGGGAGGCCAGTTGGATCTTAGCTGTTGGCCTGGTTGAAGCTTCTTCAGCAAGAATTGAGAACTGGGCTTCCCAATCATGGGACTTCATACGACTTCCAGGTGTTCTCACCAGCACAGCTAATGGTCATGGCTTCTGAAAGCCGTTGTCCGGGAAGGGTGAGAGCCTAGATTTCTCAGTTGCTCCCTGGATGGCAGTTCTTCCCTCGGGGCCTTCCCGTCTTGTTTCGCCTGAGGTGCAAGACCAGATGGCACCCCCAGCGCTGCCCCACCCTTACCCCCACCCCCAGGATGGGGCCACAAGGCGGACTGGAATGGATGGGGTGGGGGAGGGAGGGGCAAGGGGGGGAAGAGCTCACTCTGGGCTGTCGCTGGGAGCAGAAGCACCTGGGCATAGGGAAACCTTGGCCTTTCGGAACCTAGATGGTTAAATTTAACAAAAGACTAATAAAAAATGGAGGGGGAGGAAGACTAGACATTTTACACAGCAGATAGAGAAAAATGCCTGAAATAGGGATGTTCAATCTAGAAAAGCGTAATTGTTTGATTTTTAGTGGTCTAATAAAGGTATCACCTTCTTCTACATTTGTATTGATGGATCTAGATACCCTCTCCCCCCCACACACCCACCCGAGAGGATAAGAAAGAATTGGTGAGAGTTTGTTACACCCCTTGGTCCTCCGCGTGAGGCAGCTCTTCTGGGGGCAATGCTAGGTTCCCTCGCTTGTAGTGACAGTTTGGGGTTATTATTAGTAGTATTATTTTGAAAGGTGCCTAATGTTATTGTGGGAGTTCAGCTGCCTAAAGCATACAGTCTGTGGCGATTCTCCACCTTTTGGTGGTCGTTTCATCAGAGACTCTCTCAGTTCACCCCCTTAAAGCTATGGACAGTCGTGGTCCTGCAGGTTGTGGGCATTTTACTGATAAAGGGGAGAATTTCTGCATAGATTTCTCCCGTTCCTAGACGTTAAGGGTCTCTACTGTAAGGTTTGGCCAAAGGGGAATAACTCTGGCTCTTTGCCTTAGCACTTTCACACAGAAACGTTTTTGATGGCTGTATTCGGGCTGCAGGAGCATAAAACCCCTGCGGGTTGTCGGTTTTTGTAACTTCAGCATTGTGAATATTTATTTTCCAAGTGCCTTGGGTGAGTATTTAGAGCCAGAAAAAAAAATTTTTTTAAAGGAAGGAAAGAGAAAGTGTTGAGGTAGCAGAAAAGAAAAGTAAGAGAGAAGCTGTGAGAGGTAAAATGAAAAGTTTTGTGGAATGCCTGTGGAATAATGGAGTTTTAAAAGAGCAAGTTTAGCACGTAGCAAAGCAGGAAGGACTCTGTTAACGACTTTAAGGAGACTTAAAGCAATCCTGTTAGCAAACTCTAAGGATGCCTGCGTCATGCATGCCCTTCGTTACCCGTTCCGTGTTTAGGTGCGTCCTTGAAAATGTAACGTCTGAACAAGGAAAGCCCAGCTTCCCAAATGCGTGCCTTGTACGGAGTGTTAAACTCGTCCAAGTTTTACTTTCTGCCAGCAAGCCCGACCTGCATTTGCTGCCATGCAAGGTGTGGCACTCAAAAGCACTCCGGTCCATGAATGTCCACGGATCAAGTCCCTATTGATTTCAGTGAGCTAGAGCTTTAAAAAATAAAATAAAAAATTGACGCATGGGCAGGAATGCAGAGTGCCCGCGCTGTTGGCCTGAGCACTCCCCTAGAAGGAGCCCTCTTCTTTTGGGGAAGTGGGGCTGAGTGTCAACCCCCGGCGGTCTCCTGGTCTCCCGCATCCCATCCGGGGCCTCTTCCTTTTTTTCTCTCTCTTTGCAGGTGATTGTGGGAAGTATCTTCGAAGTCATCTGGGCTGCCGTGAAGCCTGGCACCTCCTTTGGCATCAGTGTGTTGAGGGCCCTCCGGCTGCTGAGGATTTTCAAAGTCACCAAGTATGTGCGAGGTGGATATGGGGAGGTCTCGTGGCTGTTGTGGCGAGACCAAGGTTTGGCCCCGTAAGAACACCTGCCCTTCTTCTCCCTCTCCCCCCACCTCTCTCTATATTTAAAAAATGAAAATGACAGACCCACCCATCCAGACAAGCTCATATTTTGTAAAAGTCTCGTATCTGAATCATCCCTATGTCTCAAGAAGTGGACTTCTTCATGAAAGTGCGCTATAAAATATAACATTTCAGGTCCGTTTTTGTCTTCTTTATTTTTATTGCATCTTGTGTTTACCCATCATGCTGGCACCGACTCACTCTCCTCCCTCTTCTGCCCCCTCCTTACTCTCTGGCAGGCAGCGTAACAGGGTCTGACAATATAACTCTGCCAGTGGAATTTGAAGGCAGCTGAAAAATTGGCTAGGACGCTTTTTTTGAGATGATCCTCCCCCAAAATAGCAAACAGCAGTGTCTCCAAAATGCAAGAACTTGGTTGGGTTTGTTTTTTTTTTAAATGGAGTGATTTATTTTGATACCATTATTCATCCTGATGGACAGGGAGCCATGGAATGGGAGATCTAACCCAAGGATGATGGAAAAGTTAACCTTTTTTAAAATTATTTTAGCCAGCAAGCCTGCCATGGGCCAAGCTGGTTAGGGGATTCTGGGAGTTGGAGTAGAAAAAAGTACCTCTATTTAAGGTTTTGTTTTGCAGTCCTAAGACGGAGCAACTCGGTCTTAGGACTGTTGTTGTGGCTTCTGGAAAACAGGGCCACTTTCTTCCTCTTAAGGGCTACTCCTCCTTTCCTCTTCTACCGAAAGGAGAGGCAGGGGATCTTGGGCCACCCGGAGGGCTTAGCCTACAGCATTCAACAACCCCACCCCTTGCCAGGGATTATGGAGGCTGTCCTCTGAAACACTGAAAGAGACCAAGCTTTTCTCCCCGTTTCCCCAGTGCAAAAGAAGAACGGCGTCCCTTCCCTAGAGGCAGCAGCCTCCGGAAGGTGGACCGCAGGGCAGAGCTGTGGCGTTCTTGCGCTAGAAGGGGTCCAAAGAGTCAACTAGTCTCTCCTTCCCTCTCTCCCCCCCCTCCCGCAAGGTCCTCCTTCGGCCGGAGGGGATGAGATTGGGGTGTCAGGAGGTCACCTCACAGGCTCCCCATAGGCCTCCGTGGTCCAGAGCCATCCTCTTCGGGGGGCCCCCAGGCTCTTTTGCTCCACCTGAAGGATGCCTGAGGGTGTCTCCCGACACTCCCCCAGAGGTGGTAGCTCAGAGGCAGAGGCAGAGAGAGAGAGACTCGTCACCAGAGAGAGAGAGAGAGAGAGAGAGACTCGTCACCCGTTGCTATGGATACCGAGTTCTGCGCTTCAAAGCGTCTTGGCAGTTCTGGACATTAATTGGTGAAAGAGGAGAGTGTTAGAAGCATTCCCGCCTGCAATCAGACAGCCCTTAAATAGCCTCCTGTAAATCACTGTCCGGTGACTTCTCAGTCTTAATGTGAGATTGTGAAAAAGATTCATTGCCTTAATGGTTCTTTTTTTCATTCTCTGATTCATTGGCTTTTTATAAATATATGTAAACCATATATACACATATAGCAATCAGTGATAAGAATGTAAAGGGAAACATTGTACTGTACATGTCACCATAAAAGAGTCCTAAATGGCTTTGTCAACAATCCTTTTTCATTTGAGCAGACGGATATTGGTGATCCTGACTCATCCCAGACCAGCAATATTTATTTCCTCCATTTCATGCACCAACCAAGTGCTGGATTTGACAGAATTAGGCAACATTTTTTAAAACTATTTTTTTTCACCTACTCTCCCGCTTATCTATTTATTTATTTTATTTATTTATTTGATTTATACCCCGCCCATCTGGTCTAAAAGACCACTCTACCCAGTTGTAACCTATTTAGTTAGGATTCAGAAGGATTCTTACAAAAATACTCACGCTCCGTGCAAGAAGCCATCTCCATATGCTGAGAGAGCCTGTTGAGAAATGACGGACTTTTATAAGTTTTGGAATTGCTAGTGCAGAAATGCAACAAGGAGGGCTCCCCTCCCACCACAATAAACGGAAAGAGTGAGATTTCCATAATTGGTTACAAAATGTCTCCGCATAATGAACATTATTTTTCATTATGAACTGAAAAGCGCTGGCTGAACAATCCAAGAGATGCAAGCAACCTATCAAGGGCTTGCACTTTTAAAAAAGTCTAGCAGCAGCCGTTGTCCAATCTGCTTAACCTTCTGGTTTGCTCTGCCATGCAGAGAATCAGGGGATCCTGGGAGTTGGGAGGGGCCCGTAAGGCCATCAGGTCCAACCCTCTGCTGAAGGCAGGAATCCAAACCAAAGCAGATCGGACAGCAGAGGGTGGTCCCGGTTTCCCTCAATGGCCTCCAGGGTCAGAGCACCCACTGCCCTCTCCTGAGGCCATGGGTCTCCTTGTCGTACTGTTCCTAGTGACGCTTTTCCTGGCTTGTCCTCCTCCTTCCCTTCCTTTAACCGGCTTGTCCTTGCCTTGGAATTTCCCCCCCTCCAGGTACTGGAACTCTTTGAGGAACTTGGTGGTCTCTTTGCTGAACTCCATGAAGTCCATCATCAGCTTGTTGTTCCTTCTCTTCCTCTTCATCGTCGTGTTTGCTTTGTTGGGGATGCAGCTCTTTGGAGGACAGTAAGTCCCGCCTTGAGGGCCGTCAGCTCAACCGTTTTTCGGAAGAAAGTTATTTTTGATGGTGACGAAGCCTTCGCGGGAAGGTTGTCCATGTACCGCACAGTCTCAGGGTCTCTTTTTGGCTTCTCCCTAGGTTCCATTTCAACAACGAGACGCCAACCACCAACTTTGACACTTTCCCCACTGCCATCCTCACCGTGTTTCAGGTAAGGGCTTTTCCTTTGTCTCAGGATGGACGAATCGTCGGCTCTCCGGAGGCTGTGAGCTGTGGTGCCCGGTGTCTCTTAGATGCTGGCCAGGAGGGCTTGGCCAGCGTCTGTGAAATCCAGAGCATCCAGGGGAGGGGGGAGGAAGGGGGACCAAATTCCCCCACTGGGGCTCTTGAGAATATACGTCGTGGAAGGAGGAGCACTCTCATATCGGATGCGTAAGAGGAAATTGCAGAGTGCTCCGATCTGTTCATTTCATGAACCCAAGGACGGAGAAGCACCTGAGGGTTCTCTTCAGCGCTGTGGCGGGATGTGTAGTCATTCTGTTTAAATGATAATAATCCTGACTCATTTTCCCTCTGCCTGTCTCCATCTGCGTGTGGAGTTCTAGGCACCTACTTTCTCGTCTGCTTTGGTGCTGTGCAAGTAGACATTCCGGTCCTTTTAAACCGCTGGAGGCAAGATCCTTTCAAAGTAGACACGGCCCTGGTGGATCTCCCCATCGCAGCCCTCGGCCTTCCTGTCTCATCTCCAGCTCCCTAGCTTTTCCTATCCTGGCTCTGTCTGAGGGGCAGAGGCAGCCTGCTCTCCTTCTTTGCTTGCACTTCCTGAAATTAATGAGGACGGTAGCTTGAAATAGGGCCTGAGGTCATGGAAGAAAAAGAAAAAAATCTGTAATATAATATCGGCTCAACCTCAGAAAAACTCAGATCATGGCCACTGGTCCCATCACCTCCTGGCAAATAGAAGGGGAAGATATGGAGGCAGTGACAGATGTTACTTTCTTGGGCTCCATGATCACTGCAGATGGGGACAGCAGCCACGAAATCAAAAGACACATGCTTCTTGGGAGGAAAGTGAGGACAGACCTCAATAGCATCTTAAAAAACAGAGACCTCACCTTGCCAACAAAAGTCTGAATCGTCAAAGCTATGGTTTTCCAGTAATGATGTATGGAAGTGAGAGCTGGACCATAAAGAAGGCTGACCGACGAAGAATTGACGCTTTTGAATTGTGGTGCTGGAGGAGGCTCTTGAGAGTCTGCAAGGAGAACAAAACTATCCATTCTGAAGGAAATCAACCCTGAATGCTCAACTGGAAGGACAGATCCTGAAGCTGAGGCTCCAATATTTTGGCCTTCTCATGAGAAGAGAAGACTCCCTGGAAAAGCCCCTGATGTTAGGAAAGTGTGAAGGCAAGAGGAGAAGGGGACGACAGAGAATGAGATGGCTGGACAGGGTCATCGAAGCGACCAACATGAATTTGACCCAACTCCGGGAGGCAGTGGAAGACAGGAGGGTCTGGCGTGCGCTGGTCCATGGGGTCACGAAGAGTCGGACACGACTAAACGACTAAACAACAACAACAAACAACAATATAATATTGAGCCTTTTAGTTTCTGCACAGTTAGAATAACTGGGGAAAGGACTGTGAATCAGAGAGGAAGTAAGAGGGGGGAAAAGCCGTGGCCCTCAGCTAAACAGGGAGAGGTGGTGTTACAGTGTGGGAGGGGGAGCCTCAGGGAGCTGAACCAAAAAGAGCCACCACGAGGCGTGGCTTTTCCGATCCCTCCCTATGAAGTCAATGGCCGACCTCATTTATTTGGCCCGGCCATGGCAGCACAAGCAGGAGGGGGAGGAAATATTTTTCCCCATACATCTAGCCCCACGTGTGCTGCATATCTTTTTTCCCCCTGCTCTGACCTCACAGGATTTAAATGCAAAATGGGAGAAAAGGCAACACATGCTGCTTATAGACTACCCTATAGCACTTAAAGCACTCTCTGAGCAGTTTACAATTTAATTATGCAGGCTCCACATTGTCTCTCCCCCCCCCCCAATGTGCTGGGCACTCATTTTTCTGACCTTGGAAGGCTGGAAGGCTGAGTGAACCTTGAGACAGCTCTACCTGGGATTGTGAGCAGAGTTTTGGCTGCAAGTGCTGCAGTTTAAGCCCTGCGCCCATGAGGCTCAGAACATGGCCGTAGAGAAAGCAGGGCCCTGCACAGATTCCCCAGGACCTCCCCCCCCCATACGGAAGCCGCTTCGGGGGCTTCCTGCTGATTTTCGCCCCTGTGTACACCCTGCATGCTGGAGCTGTCAAATCAAAAGGAGTAAAATCAATTGGTGGGGGTTAGTTTTGCATGCTTGTGCACTGATAGGCATGCCATTTGGAATCACCGAAAGACCCAGGAGAGGAGAGTGAATCTGCCAGATTTCAAACTAGTGGTTTCTCCCTTCTCTACGTGGCAAGAGGCTGGGAACACGGTTTGAAACTCTTCTGGTGGCAACGCCAGAAAATGTCTGTTTTGTAAGTCTGTTTCCACATGGATTGGACAACAAAAAACGGGAGCCAAAGAAGAAGGAGGGTGAAGCCATTATTTAGCCGGCCACTTCCAGGTCTCTACAGGATAGAAACGTCTTTGCCAGCTTCCAGAAAACTGTGCGGGGAGCCAACCTGGAGCCTCCTTTAGTGGAGAGCGCCATAATGAGGCCAGCCTTCGAAAAACCCAAGTAACCTGCTGGCTTACCAGGCTTGTTTTGAATAATCGATGCCTAAAGAGATGTCTTCTGCCTTCTCTCTCATATATATGCATAATTTCTCTCTCTCTCCCTCTTGCTCATTCATTTTGCAGATCCTGACAGGAGAAGACTGGAACGCCGTGATGTACCAAGGCATTCAGTCCCAGGGAGGGGTCCATTCTGGGATGTTCTCCTCGGCCTATTTCATCGTCCTGACATTGTTTGGGAACTGTATCCTTACACTGCTCAGATCTCAATGTGCTCCTGGTCCGTCCCTTGGCTGGCAAGAGCGCATGCACAGACACCCCCACCACCACCCCCACTAAGGGGCAGCTGGAAGTTCGTGGAATGCCTCTAGCTGAAGTTTTGCTTTGTTGTGTAAGATAGTGGGAGGAAAAAATTCTAAATCTTTCCAAAAAACAAGAGGGGGGGTACTGCCAACATTTCTAGCCACTGGAAACTTAAACACTTTGGCCTCATTCCAGTGGTGAGTCCCATTAAGTCAGTGAAATTGATATATTTGTTGACTTTCCAAATTCCCATTCCCCTGTAGGTCTAACTCTAGTTGGGGCTAATAATTTTGTTTAGGTCTTTGAGTCATATTTATCCAGCAGTAAGCCCAGGTTTGTTTCCTCTCTTCACTGTGTTGGCTGTATGAACCATTCGAATATCAAGAATTATGTGTATCGTGATCATTGTCATCATCCTTGACCTGCAGAGCTAGAAGGAACAGTATGGGTCATCGCCAGCCATTGGCTCGGCTGCCAGAGCCCTCAACCTCTCTGAGCAGTTCATTGTTAGGATGCCAGACCAAAAGGCATAAAAATATCCGTGCGACCTTTTGAGACCTTTGTGTCCCTTCTTCATTGAAAGATGTTAAAAATATTGGGGGAGGGCAGGTTTAGAGGATAACTTGATCATTTCCTTAGTTCCCCCACACACACATTAAGAACCCCCCCCCAATCTCTCTCAAATTATGCCATTGTAGCTGTAGATAGGCGGGATGAACATCAATTCAGTCTTGCTAAATAGTCCTGGACATTTGGAAACTGCTCCGTTTACCCCACGTGAAAGAATTCAAGCACACTTCGTTGTTGTAGGACTCTCATTCATTCCGGCTGGGCTTCCTGCGAAGAGAAGCCCCCGTGGATGTGGACAACGTGTGCCCTACGTAAGAATGAAATATGTTTCCCGCTTACATATTAGCCGACAAAGGGTTAGGATATCATGATAATCATTATTCCCATAAGGATGTGGAGCTAATCGTTCCTTCATCAGGGCTTCATGGCAGAAAAACCTTCCCAGGTCTTAAAACTGGGAGATTCCATGCTGTGCCTACTCATAAAAATTCCATTCCCTTTCTGAGAGATAATTTCAGCCGAGAACCATCCTTATAGCAAGAGGCTTTTAAAGAATTACTTCTGCCATTTCATTCGTTCTTTGGTATTTGAGTGTTTGGTATCGATCAGACCTGTTGCTTGGAGGGTGAGGGTGGAAATCCCAGTGCCAATCCTTCTTTGCATTTTTTGTAGACTCTCTTCCCTCTGCTCTCATTTTTGTGAACCCTTCCTTCCTTCCTCTCTTCCTCCCTTCCTTCCTTCCTCCATTTTCCTCCCTCCCTTCCTTCTTCATTCCTTTCTTTTCCTCCCTTGCTCCCTTCCTTCCTTTTCCTCTCTCCCTTCCTTCCCTTTCCTTCCTCCTTCCCTTTTCCTCCCTCCCTTCTTCCCTCCCTCCCTTCTTTTTTCTCTTTTTGCTCTACAAGGTCCTCCATTTCAGCCCTTTGTCTCTTTTTGAATACAATTTTTAGCGCCCATTATAGATGCGAGCCATTCTTCTTCTTCTTCCTGCCAGGAGGCTTGTCCCCTTTCCACTTGTTCTTGTCCTTGTTAACTGACGAACAAGAGATGAAGAGAAGGATCTGGGAACGAAAGTTCAAATTAGCCCATTAGAAGAACTTTCGCTTATATATCCTAGTAGGAATGGATAGGCCTCGAAATAATGAGTGGGCGTTAAGAAAAGAGGAACATCGTTGGGAGTGCAGATAGCGCTGGTAGCTGTAGGCAAGACAGACAGAATCGGCCTTTTCTACTAGACTCAGAACCTGCCGTTTCCCCATCTCCTTCGTCTGGGGTTGCTCTGGGGCC